AAAAACTCCTTCATTGGTACACAATTCCCCCCCCACCACCACCCCTTTTGGACTTCTTTGAAATAGCAAGTTTGAGATTTTTTGAGGTCAGCCCAAAGCACACGGAAATAAATCATAACAATATGCCCTAAATTTCTCTTTAGATAACTCAGTGCTTGTAATCTTCTCAGTAAGATTGCTAACCTTTTTAAAGAAAAGATGGACTGAGCCGATGAACAGTGGTATGAGGAGGACAAGTAAGATGTGTCTAGCCTAGTGTCTGGCACATGGGTATTACAGAAACCGTGAAAGAAAACGTTTATTTCAAAAAGCTTGAAGCCTTTGTTATGCTATCTGAATGGGAGTTTGGTGCAGAATTTTAGATTTCTAATACAAATTTTAAATTTTTTAATACTTTTAAAGGATTTCAGGATAATTTTTCCTTTTCCTGACAATTTGGAGTTAATTTAAAACACATGATATTGTTTTGCAACATCATTCTTTTGTTCCCGTATTTGACATTGTTGGCTTACTGTGCACGAAGTAATCATCAAAATCTAGATTCATTTAGATCCCACACCAGGAAAAGGTTTCGGGTTTGTTCGTAGACATGTTGTCCACACAATATGTATATGGGTCACAGCACAAGGGTGATCTAGCGTTGGAGGTTACTGCGTTTGTTTCTTTATGGGTGAGGTTTTAAATTGTTTTTTTCCTGTTCGATTGATAGGATTCATTTAGAATTCAATTCATTCATTTGCTAAGTTCACAGATATTTGTTAAGAGTTTACTTGAGATACAAAGATGAAAATCCAGTGCCTACCCTCAGGGGACATGCAACCCAAGCCCAGGAGGTTTACTTTTCAGTAAGTTTCAGAGCTGTGCATTAATGGCATTACCACTCACTCCCGCAGGACCTGGGCCTGGTTGGGACCCGGGGCTGCTGCGGAGCGGACTCCCAGGTCGGCAGGGGCGGAGTCAGCGAGCAGCCCGCCGCGGCCCCCACGCGCTCCCGCCCGCGCCGCTCTAATTTCGCGGTTCGGACCACCGGAAATTCGCCGCCGGCGGAGAGGCGGTGACCGAGCGCAAGCGAGGGGGCGCGGGGAGGGCGCGTCCGCGGGCCCGCAGGGCGTCCGCGGGACGCGCCACCAGCGCCTTCTCCGCCAGGGGCTCGGCGCTCGCCCACCTCTTCCAAATTTAACCATTACCTAAATCCGAAGGGAAATGAGCAAACCTCTCGGATTGGGTGTCAAGGTATTTTCAGCCTCGTTGGGCGTATTTATCCAGAAGTGTTTCCACAACAAGCTATTTCGGGGCCAAGGGGCAGGTTTCTCTCTGCGGACACTGTGACCACTGGTCCGGGCTCCAGCCCGGCGGCACCAAGGGCCGATGATTCACGGCCTTGAGCTGGGGGCGGCTCAGCCGGGACAGGCGTTGGGGCTGGGGGTGCCTGGGGTCATGGGGCGGAGAGGCCCCCTTGGGAGTGGGGCGCCCCCACCGCCCGCCGCTCCAGTCAATCTGTGTCCTGAATCTGTGACTTCTTCTCGCTACGGAAGTCTCCTAGCAGCCAAGAATAGTACATTTTCTTTCGAGTCATTTCTAGTGCCCGGGTCCCCACCACCACCACTACCCCTTGCCATCCCACAGTGAAGATATGAAGAGGGGCGCCCAGGACGCCGGCTGAGAAACCCTGGCCCCCCCAACCTTGCTCAAAGGAGGAGCCCGGCTGGGGGTTGGGGGACAGGTCTGAGAGAGTTTGTGAGCTGCTCTTTAACGCTCAGGAAGTGAAGCTTGTGGTTTTGGGGGCTGAGCTCTGAAGGAGCTTTTTTTTAAGAAAAAAAAAAAAAAAAAGTCAAACTGCGCGGTCTGTCCCGAAAGCAAGACTCAGTTTGAAAGCTCTCGGAGCGCCGTGCCCGCGCGCTGACCCCGCAGGTAGGTAGGTCTTCGGTGCCTGCTCCGCGCCGCCCGCCCGGGCGGGGGCGGCAGTACGGGCACGCGGGGGCGACCCGATGGAGCTCGCTGGTCCCCAGCTGCTGTGGTCTCTGTGCTGGAGCCCCCGCAGCGCCGGACTCTGGAACCCCGAGCGACCCAAGCGGCGGGACTGGAGGTGCCCGGAGCCCCGAGACGCTCGCGCCAGGCCGTTTGGCTGTGCGGCGGGGAGCAGGATTTGCCCGGGAAGGAAACATCTGGCAGTTGAGGCCGCCCCCTCGGTGCCGCCGGCCCCCTCGGTGACCTGAACCCCGCGGTCTGGGGCTCTGGCCGCTCGCGCGCCCGCGTGCGCCGAGGGGCCGCCCCGCCCCCGGCCGCCAGCTGCAGCGCGAGGCAGCCTTCCCAGGCGCTGGGCCCCCGGCCTTGCCCCTCCAGGAACCGCCCTACACGCGATCCCGCACTGCTCCCCGGACCCAGCACCACCACACGCCGCACTGGGTGCCACCAACTGCCTACCCCTGTTTTCTTTTTCCTCTGAGTTTTATGGTTTAAGAAATTGGCTCTTGCGTTCGTTCGTTGTGTACAGCCGAAAGGGCGTCTCCTGTTGGGGTGCCAGGACAAGTGAAATTGTAGAGATATTCTTTGGAGCAGCTCTGCACCCCGAAACCTTCGGAGGCCCTGGCCTTGAAGCCATCCCAGACGGGAGTGGGCAACCTCCTCCCCCTTGGGAACCTGTAGGCATTTAGGACGAGGGACATGTTGTAGGGGCTCTGCAACTTGTTCCAGTTCTATCTCCCCTCTTGTCGCCTAGAAAGGGACACGGTTGGGAGTATAATGCCTTGCAAGGACTGAATCCCCGAGGATTCCGTTTGAACCGGGCTGAATTGTTGGGAGTTGGTGCCAGCTGGCAAGCGTAGAGTGTGCCCGAATCCTTCCCTGGGAGCTGCACGCCTTGATGTAAACCAGAGGACTTGTCCTGCCCGACAAGGGGTCCCCAACCTCCCGGTCTCTGAATCCGTGGAGGCCAGGACGAGATGCTGTGCCCAAAGAGTCAGCAGTCCCCTTGTGATCCGGACCCCACTGTCTTCACAGCCAGAGGAAGGCAGATTCCCTTTCCTCTGATCTGCTCAGCCCTGGGGTCCCACCCCCGGAGATGGGCAGTCCTCTGCTGGGCATAGGTGCTGCCCCGCCTCCCCGCCAGGCTCAGGTTTCCACCCTGGATTAGGTGAACTGATTGGGGGTTACGGAGAGCGGCCCAGCGCCCCAGCCCCGGCTCTCCGCCGCTTCCAGCGCAGCAACCTGCGCGCCTGGGCGCCCCGAGGCTGCTTGTGCTGCGTGTTCCCCGACCACCGCGCGAGCCGCAGCCACCGCGTGCATATCAGGCCCCACTGCCCCGCGACAAAGTTGACAGCGAGCAGAAGGGAAAGTGCTTTGTCCTGGGTCGGTACTGCCGAGGTCAGGTCTCCTAGTTCTGGGATGCCCCCGCCAAGACCCTGCACCCACGTCTTCTGGGCCAGTGTTTCCCCTGCATGCGGCGTGACCGTTGGGCTAGGCGGGATCACCCGGGCGAGAGTTCCTCCTGGGACGGGGTTGGTCCTCTGCCACCACCACCCCCCTTCCTGTCCCTCTGCCCTCCGCCCTCCTTCCCCAGCCTCCGTGCTGGAGCCCGCCCCGCACGCGCCAGCCACGGTGGGCTCTCGGAGCCCGGACGCGCCCCACCTGGCGTCCCCAGGAGTGGTGGAGTCGGGGTAACTTGCCCGTTGGAGACTGTGGGTCTCTGGAGGTTTGAGTGAGTGAGTGAGTGAGCTTTGCGAGCAAAGGGAGGGATGCGGGGGTGCGGGGCCCCAGGCCGGTTTTCCGGCGGAGCTGCGGCGGCGGCCCTGGCTCGCGCCACCTGTCCGAGTGGCACCTGGTGAGCGAGGAGGCGCCGCGGGCCAAGCCCCTCCTCCGCTCGTCCCGCGCGCCCCTCCCCGGGCGGCGCGCCCCTCCGCCGGCTCCCAGCCCTCCACCCGCTGCTGACCCGCCTCCACCCGCCTCTCCTCTCAGGTCTTCACTGGATCGGAGCTGACAGCGGCTCGCTCCCGGCCACCATGCCGCGCTCCTTCCTCGTCAAGAGCAAGAAGGCTCACAGCTACCACCAGCCGCGCTCGCCGGGGCCCGACTATTCCCTCCACCTGGGCAATGTGCCCGCGCCCGGCCGGGCAGGTGCGAGCGCCCCTCTGCGTTCAGCCACACCATTTCCGGGGGACGCGGAGGGCGGCCCTGATGCCTCTTTGCTGTCGTTCTTATCTCCGACGGCCCCGTTCCTTCCCGAGCCTGTCACCCAGCGACTCCGGGACTCGACAGCGCTCCTCATGGGGTCAGGGCGGAAAGGGAGGGAGAGGTGCCCGGTGCCAGTTAGAAGCCCTCGCGCCCCCTCCTGAGTCTCCCCTGCTTTCTCTTCGCAGAGAGCACGTCGAGCGCGGGCGAGGCGGAGGCGGAGTCCCGGGGCCGCTTGTCTCCCGAGTCGCAGCTCACTGAGGCCCCCGACGGAACCTCCGCGTCCCCAGGCAGTTACGATGGCAGCATCTGTGATCGAAGCTCCGAGTTTGAGGACCTCTGGAGGCCCCCGTCGCCCTCGGTGTCCCCAGGTAGGCAGCTCTGAGACGGTGAAAACGGGGTGACACGGGAAACAGCGTGTGCGCGGACAGCTGGCTGGCTGGGCTCCCTCTGGAAGGAAGGTCCCTGAGTTGAGGAAGGAGCTCCATGCGGGGACAGTGGGCTTCTCTGCCTTCGCCCGAGGTGACAGGGCCTTGTCCGCCCCTCCCTAATGTTTGTGCGGAGCCAGCTAATGACAAAAGTAACACACCTGACTCGCGACAATACTGAGATTTCGTTTTCTGAGTCGATTGTTTAGAAAAAAGTTGGAGTCGCAGAATCCAGACACGACCCTCACATAAACCGTGTCCTCGACAGTTTGTGAGCGCAACTTGCATTGCCTTTAAGAATTGTGTTCGCTTCC